AGTGTGGGCTTGTGGTTAGAGCTGAGGCAGGGTGGTCTAATAAAGCCAATCTGTTGTAGATTCAACTTTTCAAATGAAAAAACTTACAAATTCATTTCCTACTTACAAACGAACAGATTAAATAAAAGGGTTAAAAAACACCAACAAAACCATTCTTAAAATCCAATCATTTTAATTTGTGTAAAAGTCTCCAAGCCTGAACACATCTTTTTTAAAAAAAGGAAAGAAAACAGTCGCAAATGGCAAGGAGGTCAGATCACCTGACATCTTACAGATACACGCTATGAAAATAAAACCCAAATTAAAAAAGAGAAAAACTGCATACAGGGCGACATCACACTTCAAACCTGGACAATCCGATGCCCTTGGCTTAGGGGATGGAGGTAAAATAAAAATAGGTTTATTGCATCTCACAGACTCACTTAAATCAACTTCCCATGGTTTACTGGGTCTAAAACTAAAGGGCTTTCTGCTCCCCACCCCAAAAACAGTTTCTCCAATGTGGAAAAGATTTTCCCATTTCGCTAAAACCAAATTTCCGACTGCTTCGCTCAACACCCAAGTCGAAAGTGAGAAGCCAGTCCTGTCCTACAGCAGGCGGAGGCCTGCAGCTCAAGATCCACCCAGCACAGAGGCGCCACCTGCCTGCGGGTCTCCCCGTTTCTGCCCGAGACCGGCAGCGAGTTGAAGGGGGGATCCGGCGAGGCGTTTGCATCACCAAGGACAGGTCATCTGTGCAGCCAAAGCCGGCTGGTGTCCTGCATACCCGAGGGGCTCGGGTACCCCACTTTCCTCACGCCCACTTCTGCAGCCCAAGAACAACCCAGACCCCAGATTAAAAACGAGGGGCTCAGTGGCAGAGGGGCCGACGAGTGTCGGTCGAAACAAAACGAGTTGCCCTCCAGCTACACTCCCGCCCCCCCCCTTACTGAACCCCGAATTCCCCGCTCAGGCACCCGCGACAAGCCGCCCCCCCCCACCCCAGCGCCCTCTAACCCTCGCTGCCCTCGTCATCCTGCGCGGTGTAGATGGTCTGGTTCCTGCGCTTTATTTTTGGGGTGTTGCCGGTATCGCCGCTGTTCCCAGTCTCCCCGCTGGTGCGTTTGGGGGTGCGCAGGGGCGGCAGGGGCCCCCCCCCTCCCTCGCTGGGGCTGCCGTCTGTAGAGGGCGGGGGAGCTGGGGCGGGGCTGGAGGCGGCGGGGGGCAGGTCGAGGGAGAAGAGGGGGACCTCCGGGGTGCGGGGGGAAGGCAGGACCAGGCGGCCGATCGCTGGGGGGGCCGGGCTGGTCTCCCCGTCCGCGGGCAGGCTGCCGCCACCCGCGGCCTTACTCTTCTCCTTCCCCGCGCCCTCCTCTTCCTCCTCCCACTCCTCCTCGATGGTGATCTCGTCGGGGTTGAAGGAGCTGGACAGCCCCGAGGAGTCAGTGGGGTACTCGCTGGGCTCCTCCGCGCTGCCCGAGCTCTGGTTGTCCTCCTCCTCCTCCGACTCGCCCTCCCGCTCCTCGGTCGCTCGCCCGGCCTGCCCGGCGCGGGCGTAGATGTCCGTGAGCCCCAGCGTGGCGCAGAACTCCGTGGTCTGGGGGTTGAGGGCGTAGCAGGGAGGCAGCTGGGGCTGGGGGCGACTGGGGTCGTACACGGGCACGGTCACGCTGAAGTTCTCCGGGATGTGGAGGTCCCCGCCCAGCTCCCTCACCACCGCCTGCTTGGCCTCCTCCGACGCCGTGTAGTCCCACCTGGGGTTGGGGGGGGACAAGAGAGAGGGCGGCTCAGCCACACTGCACCCCAAACCAGAGAATCAGCTGCAGTGCGTCACAGGGGGGCTCAGGATCTGAGCCCTGAATAAATGGCGGGCTGGCAAAGGAGGTGAGACAGTACCGAGGTGATCAGGCAAGACAGGTAAGGCAGGCAGGTGCACAGCGATGCAAGATGGGAAGATCTGAAGGCAAGCTAAGCCCTTATGAGATCAGAGAGGTAGGTAATGTAGGCTTGGTAGCCATGTAAATGTGTAGGAAGGCGAGACAAAGCAGCTGAAGGGGCTGGCAAGGCGTGTCAGCTCGCGAGCGACGCCCCCCGCTGCCTCTCACCGGGAGTGCAGCCCGTTGTTCTCGGGGGTGTTCCAGTTGCAGGGGGTGCAGTTCAGGAGCTCGTCCGTGGCCTTCAGGATGGCCAGCCACTCGGGGTCGTACTCCAGCTGCTCGGGCGCCCCCGGGCGGTCCTCTATCTCCACGATCTGAAAGCACACGCAGGGGGCGCAGGGTTGGGCGGGCTCCACGCGGGACGGCGCCACGGCCACCGCCTTCAACAGCGCCGCCCCGCGATCAGACGAGGCCTTCGCAGCGGTCTCTCTCTCCTACCTGCAGGAAGTCGCGGTGAGGCAGGCACTTGTCCAGCGAGAGGAACCTGGTGGTCCTGGGAGGGGAGTCGTTCTGGGGCTGGGGGGGGGGGCAGAACACAGCCCGTCAACACGGCGCCACACGGCGGCTTGCTTCGGTCAAGACCCCTGACACCCAGACCCCTGACGGAGGTCAGGCCGCCGGCACGCCGCTCAAACACAGCCCCGCAAGGGGCAAACACGGAACCGAAGCAAGCACTCCTGGCACTTCGGTCAATATCGAGATCGCGAACACGGATCCTCACCGACCGCAGACCAACGCGTTACACGACGAGCCACCGCGCAGCCCCAGTATGGGGATTACTGAGGCCGCGAGACCGTCCCCCCGCTGCCCGTCTGTCAGGAGCGACCACCCTTCTGGGGACGTTTTCTCAGAGCTTGTCCCCACGCTGAGAGTGATGCACATCTTCTCCAGTACAGCTTGGGGCAGGTGGAGAACACACACACACGCTGCCCAGCGAGAGCCGAGGGCGATGCCCTGCTCCAGGTGCAAACCTGTAGCCCCTCTGCTCCCCGAAGCCTCGCTCACACCGGCTTGGCTGCCAGTAACTCACTGAAACCCAGCACCCCTTCCAGCCGAGTCCTACATGTCCTCAGGGATTTGGCTTCAAGGGCCTAGTTAGGGCAGCTTGTTGCCCACTCCCACCCCGCTCTGCGTAAAGAAGTGTGCTCCCTGTTCCCAAACGCAAATATAGACGTACTGAAATACACCTCCCCATAACTTCCACTGGTGCCCCTGTGCTGTGTTGCCGCGTATTTGGGCAGACTCTGTCAACCTCTTCCAGGATTGTACCATGCTTGCTTGACGTTCCTCTGCTCCGTGAATCTCCTATGCAGGTGACCACAGAGCCTTAGTTTCCTGTGCAAGATGGTCCGAGAGGGGTCGCCTGGATCGACGCCCGGAGCAGGACAGAGCCACGGCGCCCGTGACCCTGCATGAAGGGAGTCACCCCCCGCCCCCCCCGCCCTGGCGTGCCCTGACCTGGTGCTGCATCAGAGCGGCGAACTTGACGTGCAGGTGCGCGGAGAACCAGTAGCTGGGCTGCAGCTGGGCCAGGAGCTCGGCCGCCGCGGGGCTCCCCAGCGAGTTCGACTTCACCTCCGACCGCAGGAACTTCTTCTTGCGCAGCAGCTGCTCGGTGCTGCCGTAGTGGTAGATGCCGCGCGGCCAGTCGTGGGACAGGAAGATGTCGATGGGCCCCCGGATCTGCGGCAGAGTTCACGGGAAAGAGAGCGCAGAGGGTAAGCACGCCCTCCTGCTGGTGGGAGAGGCCGGAGGTTTGTTCGCACCCCTGTTCGCGAGCCGGCAGAAAGGCTGAGGGAGACGCTACAGGGGGGTGTAATGGGGTGAGGCAGGTCACCCGATGGGGGTGCATGAGTTTAAAAGAGTGAAGCCCCCCTCCCTCCCACCCACCCCCGTCTGATGTCTGGTGCCTTTTCCAGCACGTGCTGGCCCAGCCATGCAGCTAACAAAGCAGGAGCAGCAATCAGCTCCCCACAGTTCACCCCCCTCCAGCCTGCTGGGGCTCGGCTCGGCTGAGCTCGGCTCAGAAAGGCTGCCCCAGCCCAGGCACCTGTTTGAGCTTGAAGACTTCGATATTTCGGACGTGGTAGGCGCTGCGCAGAGTCTGCTGGTTGTATGGTGGGAACTCGTAGTGACCTGCAACACAAAGAGGCACGGAGTTGTTAAAGCCCAGAAGTCTGGCTTCTTTCGAGAAACATCTGGAGGAGAGCTTCAGATCAATAAGCTACTAATGACCAAAACGAGCCGGAGGAGTCGAATAGCCCTCTCCGGTTTGTGACACAACCCAGAACCCTGGCACAGCTCAGACAGCACATGGGGTGGGGTGTCAGATTGAAACTTCCCGGATGAAGGACCGAATCAACTCCATTTCCTTCCGTGAGATGGGCTCTACTGGGAAAGCCCCTGGTAGCAGGTGGGGAGGGCTCACCTTTCCGGTAGTCGTGCGACTTGAAGATTCCCGACAGCCCCCCGATCCGAAGCCCTCTGTACTGGACCACTCCTGCGTAGCCTGTGGATAGAGGGGAGTCGATCAGCCACCACGCACCATCAGGCACCTGGGCTTCCACACCCAATCTGGGCTTTCACGACACGCAGATCAGGACCCCCGTGACAAATTCAGAGTGCAAGAGACAAAGAGACGCAGTCGCACAGTAACACTGAAGCTGTGTGTAACAGCCCTGGAAGATACAGTGCAAGCCGGTCAGCACAGTACAGGTGCTTTAACAGACCACAGTCCAAACCCCACAGTGATAAGTGCGTAATAACACTGGTAGATGCAGATCCTTCAGCCACAGCGGTTTAACAGTGCAGACGCCCCAGTGGTATTAACACAGTGCAGTGCAGGGGGGGTGTGGCAGCCCATGTGCAGTGTGCCACGAAACACAGCCCAGACTTGCCTAGATAATAGATGTTGGGGGCCACCCAGCCCCCGTACGGCAGCTCCTGCAGGTGATTGGAGGCCTCGTGGTTCCCCCCGATGAAGATGGTGAGGATGGGGGCTTTCTTCTCTCCGGAGTAATACCTGAGAGACAGGGAGAGAGGCGCAGCAAGGAGAAAGAGTCCCGTTACAAATCTCATCGCCTTCTGGATCCATCCCTGCCTTCCACTCGGTATCCTACAGAATGATCTCCTTATTAATATCCCTACACTTCTATAGCGCTTTTCTGGACACTGCACTCAAAGTTCTTCACAGGTAATGGGGATCCCCTCCACCCCCACCAGTGTGCAGCCCCACCTGGATGATGCGCCAGTACTCTCCTCACACACCAGCTCTCAGTGGGGAGGAGAGCAGAGTGATGAAGCCAGCTCAGAGACGGGGATTATGAGGAGGCCATGATGGGTAAAGACCAGGGGGAAATTTGGCCAGGACACCGGGGTTACTCCCCTACTCTTTTCGAGCAACACCCTGGGATTTTTAATGACCACAGAGAGTCAGGAGCTCAGTTTCATGTTCCAGGGAGTGCAAGATGAATGCAGCATCTGTCTTGCCTTGCTGCCTGGGTCTAGACACACACACACACACTACAGCACGTTGGCAAGCATGCATGAGGGGGGCTGACCTGTAGAAGCCCTCCATGTTCCTGTACTTGGGGGGCACAGCCATGCACTTCAGGTCCCCCTGATTGCGCACGGCCTGGAAGTCCCCGCAGCAGAGCAGCAGGTCCACCGTCACCCCCTCACGGCGCTCCAGGTAGCCGATGGTCTCGTAGATCTTATCCAGCTCTCCATGGCAACAGCCTTCCACGGCGATCTTCATCGCGCGGGCCGGGGCCGCGTCGCGCTCCCCGACACAGGCAAGCTCACTCTCTCTCTCTCCCCGGCGCCGTCAGCCCCGCATCGGAAAGCACCCCCGCGGCCAGCGAGCGGTCTTCCCGGGCACGGCGAGGACACAGGGCCGCCCTCGGCGCTGCGGGAGCGCAGGGGAGGGACGACAGGGGGAGGCCGCCGGCCTGCTCTAAACCTCGTCTTCACAAGAAAACCAGAAAGAAAAAAAAATCACTTTTCCACGTCAAGAGTCGAGTTCCTCTGAGATTTAATTTCTGCATCACGCTGATAGAAACACTGGAGCTGGCATTCGCCACCTACGGTATCCAGTACGTGAAGTCTCCTATATACTGTATAGATATGCTGTCCCCAACTCCCAAATAAGTTGTCTACATTCGACATAGCTGTTTTTCCCCCCCTTTTTGGGTGCATCCTCGTGGCCTGTGTGCAAACAGCACTTCACCCTTCAGAGGAACCAGCTCCTAGCCCACATGACGTGTTCGCTGCTCGACACGGTACCCCTTCAAACAGCGCGCTTCTCCCGGCCGGAGAGCCGCTGTCACTCTGTCGCTCTGCCCGCACACGCCTTCACGATTCCGGGGCGAAAAGCGTGCTAAACCGAAGCCCCGTCAAGTTGACTCAATCGGCAATCGCTGGTAAACAGAAGATGTGGTCAAACGTCATAACATTTAATTCACACGAGGGCTGATATAGCTGATTCCTCTTAACGCTGCGATCTACCGACACTGTTAACACACTGCACTGAAGCTGCCGGCGGTGCGCACCTGGGCCCCTCTCAGGGCGCCCTCACACAACCCGCACCCACCTGGTGTAGGATCAGCGCTGAGGCAGCCGCCAAACCGGACTTCAGATACGTCCAGCCGGTCAGGAATCCCCCGCCACACAAAATAATAGCACCTCAGACCCGAAGCTCCCAGCCGCTACGCACTCAAAACATTCGCACATGCGCCCTGAGAGCGGCCCGCTGGTGGAGTAAATATATCCACCGTATCCGAAGGTTGCACTTTCCACACTGCTGCCTCCCGGAGGGACTGTACCGTAGACTGTTCCTTAGTTTGAAAGGGTAGAGTAATCGTCCGGTAGGTCTGCTATGTCGTGACCGCTCTGACAGATTACATTAATATCAATAGCTGAGCCAATCTGGTCCTGATTCAAAACGCTGCTACTATACTACTAATAAGGAGGCATTATTGTGATTAAGGGCACATGTATTATACTCTTGGTTTCTAAATGACCTGAGAACACAATAACCATTTATGTCAAAGAAACAAAATGGTATTGACAACGCTTGTAAGAATTAAAAAACGTAAAATTAATCAATTAGTAAATCTGTATTTTTCTTCGAAATAAATACCTGTTCTCATCTCTCTGACCTTGATTGGGATTTCTCGCTGATTAACTAGTTCGAGACTCCGCAGTGTGGAATCCGACAAAGCGAAACGCAAATTCAACTGCGCTTCTCTGGAAAAAAAAACACAAACTAATTCCTCCTTAATCTACAATTTAACTTTCGATAATCGCAACGAGCAGGGAGGGTTTTCGATTTAAAAAAAAACGGGGACCCGAGACATGGTCTCGACGGGTAGTTAACCCCCTTTCTGCCCCCTGCGTACTCCCCCCTACCCTCGCCCTGAACTGGAAGCGCTTTTTTTCCGGGAGGCCCAGCGTGTGGAAAGTGCTGCTCCGGTTGGGGCGCTCGTCAGGGGGAAGAGATATGGCGTGCCTGCTGGAGGCCCCTCTCCGTATCAGCGTGCTGTCCGTGAGTCTTACCCTCCGCCACTCTCTCTAGAAACGCGGCCCACCTGCAGCCGGACCGAGCCGTCCTCCGGCCGCCCCCGTCGGTGTGAGCCGGGGGCCACAGTTACAGTTAGACCTGGGTACCGGGCAGGGGAAGGGGGGGTACGTTTATCGTGGTTATTTATGAGGTCCAAAACAGGTCGGTCATGTCTGTCATGATCCTCCGCCACAAACCCGAGTGCTGTGCCTGTCGTGGATGAAGCCTGATGGGTGTTTTATGGGCATAGGTGATGCCAGTCAGAAACAAACGGAACTTGTGCTCCAACCGCCTGCTGTACGGATAGTTGCTGTCTCTTGGCTATGTCTCTGTCTCCTGCGGTGTGTCAATAGTGTCTAGGCAGGCGGCTGAAACGGGTGACGCCCACTTTTTGACAAGTCTGGAGCGGATCAGGAGTCGGGGTCCAGGCGCTGTGTGAGCTCAGCACTGGGACCTGATGGATGTTTCCCGCTGTTTGGGGAACTTTTATTTAAAAAAAAAAAAGGCTGGAGCAGGCGGGACACCGGCCAGCGTGAAACACCTGCGCAGCCATGCAGCCGGCACCGGTACAGGTACCGGTCTGAACGGACGTGAGAAAGAGAGCGGTCTAGCGCCTACTGCCTTTGCCAAGTGTGTTCAGGAGTCGGGCTGTAGCCCTGCTGGCGATCGCTGGAGCGTGTGTTGTAAGAGATCCTTACTGCCAAGGAGCAGCGATCGAGCGGAGTCAAAGTACCGAAGCGGACTCTGCTGGGGGCGGTACAGTTGTTACCGTTCTCACAGCAGCGACGACTGAACGCCGGTAGTTATGATTTATAACAGGTCGTTCTGAGCGAGAGCAAAGTTTGTCTGTGTGCGGTCTTGCTGAAATAATCAATGTGAACGATTTAAGATCAATCACCCGAGCACGCTCAGCGTTAGTGTCGCTAGCAGTAGCGCAGGTGAAGCAGTGTGGTTTCGGTTTCGGGGCTCCGGTGAAGTCGCTGCCGAGCGAGGGCAAGGTGAGGCGGCGGGGCTGGCCGGCCTCGCTGTGAGGGACGGTGACCGCTCTGCTCTGCTGTGGGTCCCGGTCCTAGTACTGGAGTGCCTCGGTGCTCTGCTGGTTTTTGACCCAGCTGGGCCTTTCATCACCAGTGCTAAACTGTTGCGCTTGCTGGATTAGTTTTCTGTTCCGGACGTCACCAGCTACACAAGCGCAACCTCAGCACCCGGGCCTTTGGGCAGTCCGGTCCCGATGTGCTAACTTATACATTGCTCATTTATTTCTGACTTAACTATTAATAGTTCATCACTTGGTGATAGACGGACACCCCCCCCTCCAGTCAGTCAGTGTTTTTCCTTCTGTTTAAGTCCACTTGGTCCTGGTTCAGCTCACACAGTCCTGAAACCCAAATTCCATCAGCGTTCAGGACAATTACAGCTTTTTAAGAGCTGAAGACAAATTTGGCAAAGAGGCCTCAAACAGGAACTTGAAACGCACGAGCCTGTGAATAGGAGCGCAGGGCATCGACGGGCACAGGCCCTGCCCCAGAACAGCCTGTCTTCCAGCTGCTCGCTCCTGGTGAAATTGAGGTCTGGATGCAGAAAAAAAGTTGACTTAGACGATCAATGACTGGTAGCGGTTAGCCCTAGTAATGAACGGCCCGTTGGAACGAAGATCAGCGGACGCAGGGGTCCCCCAGAGTCCTCAGGCAGCGACCAGCGCGGGGTTGCGGGGCTCCTGGAGCTTTTCTGTCTGTAAACCAGTCTCATTTCAGTTCGCAAGTTGTGTGATTCGTGGTTGGGACTTTGCCCCCCCCCTGGCATCGTAGCTATAATCCTATGAGCAGCTTTGCGTGTTGCGGAGCCTGATAACGGGTGAGGGTAGCGGTTTCCGTCGTCAGTCTTTGCTCACCGAGCGCTGGGTGGGAAAGCTTGTGCACGCTGCTTTGTCTGAGGGGCCGGTGAAGCAGGATCGATAAGGGAGCCTAGAAGGTGCTCGCAGGAGTTTAAAATGTCTTTGGAAAATGGGGAAAAAATATCTATATTTGGCATGCGATGAGTGATTGTGCTTTGTGTACGTGTCCCAGCTGTTGCTTGCAATGTCAGCTTTATGAGAGTGGCCATGTGTTTAACTGGGAGCAGTCGGGGGTCCGTCCTCATTTCCCCTCCGCTGGGATTCCCGGGACAGCTCCTTGTTATCCGCAGTGGAAACGAGACCAAGCCGCCCCCTGCTCCTGGACGGCCGCTGGCGCTCGCTCCCAGTGAACGTCTCCATGAGACTCGAGGCTCCGAGGAGGGCGAGACGCCGTGAGCCTCCCTCAGTCTTCCTGCCCTTCAGCGTGGAGTCAGCTCCGCTCGTGCCGGGCTGACCCTGGGTGCGAGCAGGGCTGCGGAGCCCAGTTAGGGACAGGTGCATACAGCTGTGCACACTGCTGTGCTTCGTTGGGGTGCTCCAGCCAGGCTCCCCGAGAGAGTCCCGGGGTGCTCTGTGCTCTTGCAGTGGCTGCTCCCCGTGTAGCGCGGCGGTGTGCTGAAACCCTCGGCGGAGCGCCCCAGCGCATCTTTGAGGCAGCGGTTGTAACCGAGTTGGTGTTTCAGCTGGAATTCCTGTTTAGTTGACAGCACGTGGTGGGCTCCTGCGCTATAGTGAGACTTGGAATATGTAAGGCTCCCCTTTGGTTTAACCCCTTAATTGCTTAGTTTGCAGAAAGCTTCATGTTAAGGCGTAGCCAGTTCTGGGGTAAAGGTCTGCCTTACAGCCGTGCTGTACTTTGACTCGGTAGTATTTTCTGTTTCTCATCATGGGATCTGTAATCAAGTCATCATCTCTAAGACTTTAAGGCTTGGCTAGAGGGCAGCCTCACTGCGGTGATTTAATGCGTCCTGAAGACATGGGGCTTGACAGGGCATGATGGCCACACCCCACCTGGGTTAGGGCAACCAGGAGCCAGCATGGAGGGCCTGGAGAAGCACCCTGTGAGTCTGTCAGCTTTCAGGCTCCGGCGAGTGAGCTGTCCGTGTCGGTAGGAAGACTTCACCACAGAGCGATCGAATCCCTGCCTGGTTTTATGAGCGGTGCAGTCTTCTACAAACAGTTTTTTTTTTTTAACTCACTCGTCTCCGTGCGCAGATGTGTTAAAGCTTTGAAAAATCCGGTATCCGATAGGGGTTGATCCTTAAGGAATCCCGCTTTGTAAGAAACCATATGAGTCCTTAATGCTGGCGCTGCATGCTGTAGTCGGCGGGCCTGTGTGTCCTGATAAGAGACACAGCACCAGTGGCTGTGGTGGTTCAACTGTGGCTGTAAAGGGCAGTCGGTCAGATCAGCTAATGGGCTCCATGAAACATCCCTCCTCTTAATAAGCAGCTGATGGGTAATTTCTTCTCCTCAGTACCAAAAGCTGTGTTATCCAGGGAGTTGACTTGCTTTTTACGTTCATGCCAGTAGCCATTTATGGGATGGTTTTGAAGGATCTCTAGACTAATTTAAAGATGGAAGTCTTTGCATGTCAGTGGGAAAACGTCTGGAGCTTTCTTTTTTTTTTACCTGCAAGCAGGTCGGATCACCTGTGGTCCCACAGTTCTGGGAACGAGGTGTCCCTGAGAAAGGGATGCCCGGCGTATTCGGCTCAGGAAGAAGTTGGAAATCTGACACCTCTCTGGTTTCCAGTTGGACTGGCCAAGGAGCTGACTGGAGCGGACTGGCCTGTGTGTGGGCTGGAATGAAACTGACTCCTTGTTTGTGTCTGCATGTTACCCTGATGCAGGAGGTCACAGCCACCAGTCGCCATTATGTGGACAGACTGTTCGACCCTGACCCACAGAAAGTGCTGCAGGGAGTCATGTGAGTACCTCGCCGTGTGGGTGTCTGTGTGTGTGTGATCTCATGGTGCTTAAGCACAGCACGCTCTTATTTTTATCTCGGGCCCTGCTCTGCTCAGACTTGCAGAAGGGTATCACTTGCATGTCCTTTATTATGCTGCCGTGTTTATTTTTAAAGCACAACTTTGTCATGTCCTGGCTGACAGACAGAGGGGACGCAGCTCTTATGAACTCGCTGAGGCCCGAGTCCATCTAAAGAGCTTAAGAACCGTGGAACGGGACTAGACTGAGTCTGCCTTGTGCTCTGTGTGTTTGCAGTGACATGAAGAATGCCGTCATCGGAAACAACAAGCAGAAAGCCAACCTGATCGTCCTGGGAGCCGTGCCCAGGTACCCTCACCCTCCTCGTCGTGCTCGGTCGGTCTTGCTCCCCCTGTCTCTTGGTTCCGTTCTGTCCGGGGGATAAAAAGTGCAGAACTGGACTAAGTCCATTTTTTTAAATCATGCATAAAGAGACATCCAACACAACTGAAGAAAGTGTCAGTATAATGGGTTTATGATTAACTCTGTGAAAAGACCTGCTTGTAGTCTTTTCACACTTGCAACACCTTAGCAGAGGGTGTCCTCTGTACGTCTTGTGCACCCTTTGTTGGTTTCTTAATGAAACTAAGAGGGTTGTTCTAATTGTGGTAGAGTTCTCTGTACTGCCTGTTTTTAAGTGAATGAAACGTCAGAATCCCTGAGCAGGATTTGTCCTTTTTAGTGTGAAGAGATGCCCCACTGAGCTAGGACTGCACTCGGGGGGGGGGGGGGGGTCCCCCAAGTTGTTGTATGCAGTGATAAGCTTAAGAAAGGAAATATAATTTATTAAGCTCTTTGTAAATTTTGCTAATGTTCTTTCTCCCTTTACTGTGAGAGCGGTCAGGTTTTTCCCCTCATTTGTTTTATACACATCGATTTGGATCAGATTTCATGTCGTAAGTCCAGCGCACAGGAGGAAGGGGGTGATGTGAGAACTGTAGCTCTCTCGGCGCTGTCTGGGCTGTCCGGGGCCCCTGCTCCAGAACCTTGTCGTCTCCCCGTCTCTCTCTCAGGTTGCTCTACCTGCTCCAGCAGCCTTCCTCGAGCACGGCCTTGCGCGCCGAGTGCGCAGTGGTCCTGGGCAGCCTGGCCATGGGCACCGACAACAACGTCAAGTCGCTCGTCGACTGCCACATCATCCCTGCCCTGCTCCAAGGTACGGCGCCGCGGCCTGCCCCGGGCGGGAGGGGAGGGGTGGGCTCACCCAGGAGGAGATGGAGGACTGAAGAGCGCGAGAGAGAAGGGTTAAGAGCCCACGCGTGCGAGTCGAGAGCAGGGCTGGGCGGCCCCCTCTCTTCCAGCCAGGCCCGTTGGCCAGTCTGTCTCCATCCCCGCCGCCGACCCCACTACAGGGGTGCAACCCCACCCCTGTCGTGGGGTTGCAGCTGCAGGGGTGACGAGACGGTCGGGGGGTTAGCGGGGCGCGGGCGTCGCGTCCCTCTGTGTTGCGCCGCGCCGAGCCGCTCGACTCTCGACTCTCCCTTCCCCGCAGGGCTGCTCTGCCAGGACCTGCCCTTCGTCGAGGCGTGCCTGCGCTGCCTGCGCACCGTCTTCATCAGCCCCGTCACGCCCGTGCAGCTGCTCTACACGGTGGGTCCTCGCGCTTGCAGGGGGGGGTGGGGTGCCACGCGCCTCTGGCGGGCACCCCCGGCAGGCACTCACCTCGGCCAGCCCGCACACGCTGGTTCGGCCTGTGGCCTGGTCTTGTCTGTCTTGAGTGTAATTGCGGACTGACCTGAATCAGCTGTTCCATGCTGAGGGAACGACAGTGATCTGATTGTTCCAAGTGAAAGTCCTTGAAGGGTTTTTATTTTTATTTTTATTTTTTATTTTTATTTTCCATCACCTGTTTAACTCGGCAGGGGCCCCAGTCTCACTCCGGGACAGCTGCCACGTGTTTCTGTGCTGAAGAGAGTCATGGCGTCACTTTCAGAAGGTCACATGACATAACTGCAGCCTAGGCCTTGTCCTAGTCCTTGAAGGTCCGCCCTCACACCCCCGCCTGCCCCGTGTGTCTGTCTTCCTGTAGGACCCCACTGTGATCCCGCACCTCATGTCGCTGCTGAGCCGGTCGCAGCGGACGCAGGAGTACATCACGCAGATCTTCTCTCACTGCTGCAAGGTCCGGGGGCCAGGGGCGGCTGTCTTTACAGGCGAGATCGTGGCTGGCTCCATCTACGATGCGCGCATTTCGAAGCCTCTTCTGTGCCTTTGTGCATATAGAACAGCAGCTTTGGATAACGAGCAGTTCATTTGTATTTTTACAGCACCTTATATTCATGTGGAGTGCAGTCTCTTAAGAGATTTACTGTATAGTGACTAGTATATAACAGATTAATTGACTAGCATGTAGAAGACAACAGAGAGCCTATTATAAGAATTTTGAGCCAACCGGTTAGTCTTTTATTACAATGAGGCTAATGAACCAATCAGCACTGAGCTTATTCATGATAAAGAGATCTGCCGATCATCTGCATCTGTTGCGTAGATTAGAACATTCAGTATGCCAACTTATTAAGAAGTTGGCTCTCTATTTATCAAATTGTCTGACATCTTCCAGACCCCTGAGCATCAAACAATTTTGTATAACCATGGCGCCATCCAGAACATCGCTCACCTTCTTATCTCCTCGTCCTACAAGGTGAGACGCCTGCCCTGGGGTTCACCCCCCAGGTCCCTCGCTGGCTCTGCCTCGCTGTCCGTCTGCCTGACGTCTCATCCGCCTCTTTCTTTCTCTCCCTCTGCTGCTCAGGTACGGATGCAGGCACTAAAGTGCTTCTCAGTTCTGGCCTACGAGAACTCTCAGGTCTCCATGACTCTGGTGAATGGTGAGTCCCGGCGCTTCTGCCTCTCCGTACGTCCGTTTTTATTCTTGATCTCTTTGGGTTTTCTGTGACTTTCTCTCTTTCTACCCCCACAACGAACAGTCCTTCAGTTCTGAGAATCTGCCCTGCTGTGAGGATGAACCCGTATGTGTGCTGTGCACGGCTGTAATGCTCTCTCTTGTTATTGCAGTGCTGGTTGACGGAGAGCTGCTCTTTCAGGTATTTGTCAGAATGATGCAAAGGGACAAACCCATCGAAATGCAGCTCACAGCTGCCAAATGGTGAGTGGCTCCGAGTCGCCATGGTGTGCCTTTCCTCGCTCTCCTCTTGTTTCACAGAGACTGCTGTCCGTGTCTTGTCTTGCTTGCTGGGCTCTGGCAGAAAATGGTCTCTGGCGCTCTGCCTTTGGGGTTACTCAGCTCGCAGAGGCTGGGAGCTGGCTAGGAGGCCTTACAGGGGTTTGTAGCAGTAGGAGGTCATCTCTTGTCCTCCGCTGTGAGGAGAAGGCGTGTCCCCAGTCCTTTTCGGGGATCAGTATGTCAGCCGTCTTATTGCACCTACAGCGTAGCCCTGCAGGCAAGTCAGGATTGGTCTCCGCAGTGATAGAGCTTGATCCTTTAGTCAGTAGTGGAAGCCTCTTAAAGAAGGCGGCGCTGTTCACAAAAGCAACCGTCTGCTTCACCTGGAGAGGAAAGGGAGAAGAACATTGGCAGTAGGCTGCGGCCGCTGGATTTGTGATGCAACCCCTGTGTGTTACTGTCTTCCTGTATATCTAATGATTCTCCTGCCCCCGTCTCCCACAGCCTAACGTACATGTGCAGAGCAGGAGCCATCAGAACAGACGACAGCTGCATCGTGTTGAAGGTGGGCGTGGCCCCCTTTTTATAAACTGGGGGTGGAAGTGTGTGAGTGTGTCCGTCTGTGTGACCTTCTGTGAGGGGTGTGGAGTGTGTGTATTCCCAGTTGTCATGGTGGAGTGTTTGTGGTGTGTGTGTGTGCGCACGAAGGCATGCGTCAGCGCGTGTGATTGGGTGATAACCTGTTGCTCTCCCGCGCCTAGACCCTGCCGTGTCTGGTGCGGATGTGCAGTAAAGAGAGATTGCTGGAGGAACGAGTTGAGGGCGCCGAGACGCTGGCATACCTCATCGAGCCCGACGTGGAGCTTCAGCGAGTTGCCAGCATCACCGACCACTTGATCACCATGCTGGCTGATTACTTCAAATACCCCAGCTCTGCTAGTGCCATCGCGGACATCAAACGGGTGAGGGAGGGAGGGGCGGGGTCCATTGTATGGATTACCGTGTGGTGCCTGCAAGAACCGCACTATTGTTGGGGTTAGAAGCAGTTTGATAGACTCTGCGCAGGAAGCTCATAACAGCCAGTGTCACATTTTTGTGGGTTTTCTAAAAAGCTGAACATTTCAAGTTACTGCACATTTAATATTTTACTGTAAACTCAAATCTTAATCTAGTAATTGTCCTAGGCAAGACAAAATGTCACATTTGTAAATCAGTTTAGGGTGTCATTAATAGCAGAGCTGGAAGGAAAACCTGAAGACACCAGGGCTGGGGACCTCTGGATTATTTCTTAATTGTGTGTTTCTCCCGTCCTCCCCCAGCTGGACCATGACCTGAAGCACGCCCATGAGCTGCGCCAGGCGGCCTTCAAGCTCTACGCGTCCCTGGGCGCCAACGACGAGGACATCCGCAAGAAGGCAAGTAGGGGGGGAGGTGGGGACTAGCCGCGTGACGGGCAGGCAAGAGAAGTCCAACAGTTAGTTTGGGCCTCCTCAGTCCTGGACTTCTCTTGATCTCTAGATTTATCCATCCCGTTGTGCTGTTCAAGCCACGTTCTCCGCTGTCTCTTGGTGAGGTGTTTTTATCTGTGTTCACCCCCCTGCTTGGGCTCCCTTTGGAGTGACGTTATTCACCCCACCCTGCTCGGTCTCTCTGCTGGGTGACCTTAGTAACCCCGTCTTCCCCAGCTTGGTCTCCTTGCGGGATGATTGCATTCACACCCTCCTGCTCGGCCTCACTGCGGGGTGACCTTATTAA